GGTACAGGCAGCTCCCTCAGGGAGGGACACGGGGACAGTCGGTGCAGACACAGGCATCTCTTTCCGGGGCAGATAGGGGGACAGGCCACGTTGACACAAACAGCTGCCTTGCCATGTAGAGACTGGGACAGCCAGTGCTGATACAGGCATCTTTTTTTTTTGGCTCTTGGGGACAGCAACTGTCAAGTATTAACTGTCGTCCACTGCCGCCCACACCATCGCAGCGGTGAGCGGTCTGCCCTGATTGCAGCCAGCGGTCTGCCCAGATTGCGGCCCTCCTCCTGCCCACTCTCACCACTGCGCTGCCTGCGTTGCCTGGTTCCCGATCCAGGTCTGGCTCTGGTTGCTCTGTTGCTGCTGCTGCTGTTGCTGCTGCAATGTGGCCATTTCCCCTGGTCGGCTGCTGGAACCCACCAGCGCCCGGCTTCCGCTGCCTGGTCGACAGTTCCTGCAGCCGGCTGATGGCACGCACGCTCCTCGACGGGTTGTAACAGGCGATGTCGACAGAGAGAGAGCTGGAGAGAGACAGAGTGAGAATGAGATGATGCTTCGTTGTATATTCACGCTGACAGCCCGCAGTGAATCTCCCGACAATTAAAAAAAAAAAAATTTCAACAAAAGCGTCCGACGTGTGCACTGCGCCAGCGGAGATGAATCAGGTGGACCGAAAATGGATTTTGTGCCTCTCTCCCTGGACTGTGTGTGGGGGAACCAGGCGCACACGCAGGCCGGGTGTACCTGCCCCATTGACAAGATCCAAAAGCCTGTGCGACTCGGTATGCACAGCCGATGGGACTTCAGGAAATCCGTGACTGCTGCAGGGGATTTGGAAGAATGGGCCAGGCGATGCGGAATTTCACTAGTTTGGAAAGACTGTGGATCTTTTTCTTACGGGAAGGTCCAAAGGTGAGGACCCGGAGGGGAAAAGAGATACGGGGTGAAACTGCTCCAGCTTGCGAAAAGACGGACAGCGCACATTCGAAGTATTTGGGAAAAGAGGCAGCACCAGCGCGGGAAGATAGATTACACAGAGGTGGTGAGTGGTTCAGGTGAGGGTAGCACAGTCCGACACGGCTGGCAGATTCAATTTAAGCATTCCAGGGGGACTCGGCACGGTGATCTGAGCAAGCAGGTTGTTCGGGCTCACAGGGAGGAAAGGAACGGCACAAAGTGGCACGTTCAACCGGGGCAGGCAGGCAGACACGAGGGACTGAGCGGACCCTGGTGCTGAACGCAGTGATCCAGTGAGGCTGCCTCTCCAGCGTCTCGCCTCGAGAGGGGTGCTGGTGAGAAATCCAGGACCACAGGCTTGGGTGCCGCCAAGGCAAATCGTGACGTTTCACTTCGATAAAGCGTCTGGAGTAACAAGTGAGTAAAAACCGCGCTGGAATGCTATCAAAACCATCAGGTAAAGTGCATAAGCAGCCTGGCCTACATGTGACTGCAGGCTCAGGGGAATATAACTGACTCTTAGCTGCACTCTGGGCAATTAGAGACAGACAACAAATAATGGCCCAGACAGCGACACAGTTAACAAAATAAAACATCTCGTTTCTCTCTCTCTCGTTTCCTATACTTTTAGGCACTCTGTCTCTCTTTACGGATCGTTTATATATTTATTGATATATCTATTATTTTACACACCATCTTCCTCTGGACTGTTTACATAATATTTCTGATATATTTATTATATCACTCTCTCTCTGGAATGTTTATATAATATTTACTGATCTATTTATTATTTTACACATTCACTGTCTCTCTCTCTCTGTGGATTGCTAATATAATATCTACTGATCTATTTATTATTTTACACACTCTCTCTCTCTGGATTGTTTACATAATATTTCCTGATATATTTATTATTTTACACACGCACTGCCTGTCTCTCTGGCTGGATTATTTATATAATATTTACTGATCTATTTATGATTTTGCACACACACTCTCTCTCTCTCTCTCTCTGGAGTGCTTACATAATAGTTACTGATATATCTATTATTTTACACACTCACTGTCTGTCTGGATTGTTTATATAATATTTCCTGCTATATTTATTATTTTACACACGGACTGCCTGTCTCTCTCTCTCTGCATCGTTTATATAATATATCCTGATATATTTATTATTTTACACACGGACTGCCTGTCTCTCTCTCTGCATCGTTTATATAATATATCCTGATATATTTATTAT